TCTTCAACGTAAAACTTGAATTAGTGCTTGTGTGGGTTCTTAGTGTAGAAATGTTGGTGGCTTCCTGATCTTTGTTGCTTGTTCAAAACTGTACGCAATTTCAATCAGTTTAGGCTCAGTACCCTTCAATCCTCCAAAGCATATGCCGATAGGCACCCCTTTGCTATCATATGCAGCAGGTACGATAATGCCCGGGAATCCACCAATAGCGAGTACACTAGCAACATCATACCTGGCAGCCACCAGCGCGTCCAGCTTGTATTGCCTCATCAGTTTCTTGAACCCATTTCTCGACAATTTTCCCAAATTCTTCCGAGCTTCTTTTTCTGAGTTCCCAATTCCATTTGTGGCTTCAGCAGCCAAAAACACTTCCTGGCCATACTGCTTAGTCATTTCCTGCACATTCATTCAAATGAACTGTTAAAAGTCTGCTTTATAACACACAGTTTCTGGTCTAAATGTTCAGAATCTGTACCAGATCAGGGGACTTCTCATTGAATGCTATTACATCTGCCAGCGATCGAACAGGGGAAGCTATTAGCTCCTTCAAGTATGTGTTCAAGTATATTTTGAACTCTGCTAGCAATGCTGTTTCTTCTGCACTTGAATTGTAATCCAAACTTGCTTTGTCGTCGTCTATTTCCACCAAGACTGCACCTTTCTTCCTGAAGTTGACAAAAAGTTGATTTTTTTACCATGTGTTTGGAATTATAATGAGAGTTTCTTGGGAAATATCACACCTTAGTGTTAGCAGGTGGTGCTCAAAAGCCTTTGCAACAGGGTTTTCTTCGAACTTGAAGAAGGGATTTCTCACTATACCTAGTCTCTTTCCATTGAGTCCATCAGCTTTTAGAAATTGTGCGTAACCACCATGAGGAATGTAATTTGAGGCTTTTCGGGTTGCTTCTTCATCGTTGTAGTCAAAGCCTACAATGGCATCAAGAACGTAAACAGCATCTGATACAGTCCTGCAGATTGGTCTAACAATCCAACCGAATTGAAGGAGTTAACATTGTCAGAGTGAAATTCGAATAAGGAAATCATTATACTGAAAGGAGAATGATTTGTAACTGATGATACTCACCCTATGGTATCCTGTCTTGGACTAATTGGGATTACTCCAGCTCGACTTGTGAGACCAATAGTTGGTTTAATGCCTACCACTGCATTGAAACCAGATGGACAAAGAATGGAACCATCAGTCTCGGTCCCCAGCGATACTGCTGCCATATTTGCCGCCACTGATATTGCTGATCCGCTGCTTGAGCCACAAGGATCAGCAGATAGGTTATAAGGGTTCTGCACAACATAGAACAACTTATGTTACTGATACCTGGCAGTGTGTGCCCCCAAATTTACAATAACTTTCCCAGGCTATTTTTGTCAAGTACACACCAGAAAATGGATCACCATGTCTAGTCGATTTCCTATATAACATGTGGAAAAAAGTGGGCAACTACAGATATAGTGCTAACCATCACTCACCTTTCCTAGTCCACCTCTGGCACTCCAACCATTAGGTGCGTTATATGATCGAAAATTAGCCCACTCACTCATGCTCGCCTTCCCCAGTATCACCGCCCCTGCTTTTCGCAGCTTCTTAACCACCCCTGCATCACGAGGCACAACCGATCCCAGCAAAGCAAACGATCCAGCAGTGGTGTTAAGCTTATCGTTCGTCGCAATATTATCTTTCAGCAAAATAGGAATGCCGTGCAAAGCAGAAAGCGAGTCAAGTTTCTTAACTTTCCGTTCTTCATCAGCCTTCCTTGCTTGAAGGAGTGCATCAGGGTTAACTTCTATAACCCCTTTAAGAATTGGATTCAAATTTCTGATTTCTTCGAGGTAGAAATCAACTAGCTGAGTCGATGTGAGTTGTTTTTGATTGAAAGCAGTGCGCAGGTCGTCAATGGAGGCTTCCCTGATTGAAAATGCATAGCATTTGTTGGAATTTGAGTGTGATAACATAATTGAAGCAACCAGAATTGACAGTGATAGAGCGGAATAAATTTTCATGGTGTTCGATGATAGTAGAATGTTATCTGTTCACCAATATTAATATATGGCCAAAAGCCACAGAAAAAGCAAATGTGAAACATGAAAAGTTGAAGTCACCTTGTGGACTTCAAGTCTTCAACTAGTTGGTGGACCAATAATGTAAGGTGTGTTTGGTGTGTGAAGTGAATTATATAAGTATAATTTTATTTTTGGATTGAATTATATAAGTATAATTTTATTTTTAGGGACTCTAACTATTGGGTGAGGAAATAAATTGTAAGGTAATGTTTGAATTAGTGTTTAGCATTATTTTTTAATCATTTAGAATATTTTAAACACACAAAGTCATCGAATTTGAAGATGTAATTAATTTAACATAGTTACGTGAATCTCAATGCACCTTAACATATACAAGCTTTAATTAGACAAAAATATTTGCAAATTGCAGTCACTTGCAAAACTTGTGATTGTTTGATGGAAAAATTGCTAGTTTTTATTACGTGGAGACCAATGTACACCAAAAATGAAAGCTAAAGGACCTGAACGTCAAAAAAGTGATTGACAACTTGTATGTTTTTTGCAAAAGTTTTTTTTTTTTTTTTTTATAAATTTCTCTTACATTAAAATGGCATGTAATTGTGAGAGGTAATTATATTTACATCACCGTTTTTTATTATCTGTAACACATTTTGAGTGTAATGAATGTCCTCAATTTTGGTTCTTTTTTTGTACTCACGTCTTAAATTCTTCTCTCTCATTATTATCATTAACCTTCAATTAGTTATCATAGATTGTCTATGATAATGATTTCTTTCCAAATATTATGCTAACGTCCACTGAAATAAGGTGCAAATATTTTGTTTAATGTTTGTACTTTTTTTTTGCTTATTCAAAAATACGAGACAAGTAACTCCTATGCACAAATTTTTTGAATAAAAATCGTCATTAGAAATAAGATGTACGAAATAATAAGAGGTTGATGATAAGAATGTGATGAAAATAAAAAAGTTAGAGGGCTTGATAAGAGGTGTTGGCTGATCGATAAGTCCACTAAATTTATCTAACTTGACCGAAAGAGAAGTCCAAAAACTGAAGATGACAAGATAAGTAGGAAATCTTCAGGCTAACAATGTAAAGACTTCAAATGCCTACTTTAATAAACAACTTAGAGAACATCTTTGCAACTGGATTCAACTGAGTCGAAGAGAGGAGGCTTTCGGATCAGGGTAGCTTGTTCAAAGGCATAAGCAATCTCTATCAAACTAGGCTCTGTTCCTTTAAGTCCTCCAAAACACATCCCAAATGGCATACCATCAGTGTCATATCCAGCTGGGACAGTGATTGCAGGATACCCTCCAATTGCAAGCACAGATGAAACATCCGAACCCAATGTGACTATTGCGTCCAACTCGTTCTCCAACATCAACTTCTCAAACCCATCTTGAGAAAGTTTCTTCATCATCTCGACTGCCTCCTTCTCTTCCTCTCCGATCCCATTTGTTAAGTCTGCAGCAAGAAAAATTTCTTGACCAAACTCTTCAATTCTTTCCTACAATGACCACCATTGCACATTCAAAACGCGCATTGATGCAAACAGAGTACGGCATGTTTGGTGATGTAGATTAGACAACATCGGACAATATTAAAGAAAAAAAACAAACTGTTCACTATATCTAATACCATGTACCAAATATGAATTAAACAGTTTAACATCATATAACATCCATTCTCAGTGACTCACCAAATCAGGATTATTTGTATTGAAGGCTATGATGTCAGCTAGTGACCTCACTGGAGAAGTAGTCAGTTCTTTTAGATATTCATTTATGCATAGCTTGAACTCGGCCAGCAACGCCAACGCCTCACCACATAGCACAGGGTTCATGATGACATCAATATTCGCTATATCTAGATAATCAACTATTGTTGCACCACGTTTCCTTGAATATCCACAAACACATTCAATGTAATTGAGCAGATATTCTAGTGGAACACAAATAAATTGAAGTATATTACCTCAATGTTTGGAGGTGATCCTCGAACACTTGACTTGCTAAAGACGTATTTGAAAGGTCTGCGAATGGTTTTCTTACCACGCCCACTGTCTTTCCCCTGAGCCCATCTTCATTGAGGAACTGTTTATAGCCACCTGCAGGAATGAACTTGGCTGCTGCTTTCGTTGCTTCAGAGTCTCTTGGATCAAAACCCACAATCGAATCAAGCACATAAGCAGCATCAGAAACTGTCCTACATATGGGCCTGAATTTTATCGTTGCAATAATTAACAAGACGTGAATCAGCAACACAAGTAAAAATACTTTCTAATACTCTCCATCTCAAGGAAGAAAGTGCAATAAATTTATTTACCCAATCGTGTCCTGCCGGAGTGAAAGAGGAATAACACCAGCTCGACTAGTGAGTCCTACGGTGGGCTTTATAGCTACGACAGAATTATGATCCCCGGGGCATATGAGGGAGCCATCAGTCTCAGTACCTAATGACACTGTAACCATATTTGCTGCCACAGATATTGCAGATCCACTACTTGAACCACAAGGGTCTCGCCCCGGAGCATAAGGATTCTGCAAATTTTGTTTATAGCAGCAAATTTTCATTCACACTAAAAACTAAGCCCTAATCAAAAACACTTTAAGAACTATAGTCAGCCAGCTGAGTAAATAAATAAGTTTAATTGAATGCAGATTCATATGAACTCGCCTAAAAATCCTTATTTTGAGCACCCTAATTCATATAATGAATGCCCAATATACTAACCACAGCGAAACCACTTCTGGCAGACCATCCACTAGGGATACTCAATGACCGGAATTCGTACCATTCACTCATACTGGCCTTGCCCAAAATCACAGCACCATCATTCCTCAGCCGCTCCACCACCCCAGCGTGGCGTGGAACCACCGATCCCAGAAGCGCGTAAGACCCCGCAGTAGTATTAAGCTTGTCTTTGGTAGC